TAATTGGAGTGTTATAGTTATTTATCTTCGAGTATTTTCAATTTAATTTGCACTTCAATGATCTGATGGGATTCTATCTAGCCTAGCATTTTCAAGACAAATTGAAGTAGGTGCCCGATTTTATGTGCCTAATACGTTTTTAGAGACTTGGGCACTCTATTCACGTAAAATGATGCTTTGTAAAACGATGATTGTTTTAGCAATGTACGTATAATAGGTACATCATAGATATTCAAATTGAAAGAAATAACTAATTATTTAACTAATTTATTATTATTTAACTAATTAATTATTGAATTAATTAGTAGTTTATGCGTTGTTTCCGGTCCGCAGTTTGACAAACTTGAAGATTAGGGGAATGACCTCAGAACAGGTTTGTTAGTCAGTAGAGTTGTATATTGTTGAACTCGAAATGTTCCTCCTTGGCTAAAAGAAGTGGCTTTTATAATTCTTGCCCAGACAAATTCAAAATTTTGTGAAAATATATGAACTATCGTTACTTCTGCATCTTTACGTCCGTAAGGTCTTTAGGCGGCACGTTGCATGTAAAAGTTTCAAATTGCCATTGTTGTTGACATTGTATCGTGTCAACAACACTCACGCAGGTCATGATTTCAATGACACACAGGATCTGATAATAGTGTCGTCTAAGAAAATTTTCCAAATGGATACACATCACACAGCAACCAAGGGTATTCAAGTAATTTGGTACTTAACAAAATTAAATACTTTTTTTAATTGCACCCGGATTCATAATTATCCGTGCTTTTTTTAAACATCGATATGCCAGTTTAATCAGATTCTTGGTTTGGGTTATAGCATGGCTAGTTCTGCATACAAATATTCCCATATTTGATCCTGTGTAATAAATTTGTTCCTGAAAAAAATTTCATTGCCGACATAATGACTGATTAGTTTAAGACCATATATGTTTCATCTTTCATATGTTGATTATCTTTCATCGTGGCGATGACCTCGCCTCAAACAAACTAGTTTTTGATCACCATCATGATACTTAACTCAATAAAATTCACTATAGATCACGAGGCCAGAAAGAGTAAACCTATCAAGATAAGTTATGTTTGATTTCTGCAGTTTATGTTTATTGAGCTCTGGGACAGCTACTTATTTTAACTGATAACCCAACTGGATTCTTATCTCTTTCTGTATCACTGATCTGCACCAAATAGCGAAAAGTTTCAGTGAACGATAAAGGCGTTTGTTCTCGCTTCCAATCTTAGCTTATGTCAAATTTTCAACCTGTACATCAGATTTTAGGCGAAAAATCATACCCGAATTAAACATTCAGTGATTGTCCATTGCAGGAGATCGAACTCTTCGTTCGTTATTATATTCAAGTTTAATTATGATTGATGCCATTTTTGAAAACTTAACATAGCGCAGGCTTCCGAATTCGTATTTTTGAATTATTGTAAACATTGTCAATGCGAAGCTTTTCGGAACAAAAGTGATATTTTCGGAAATGGATGTCAGGATAGAATTTTTTTTCTCTGTCGTTGCCTGAATCGTTTACATTTTCACAATTTTTTTACATTTTCCGAATTTTTCCGCCTACAGTATGCCTGCAAGTTTGCCAAAGTAGAAGGGAAAATTGCAACTGACAAAGCGGTTTAGGATAAATTGAAATAGAGCATCATTCTTAACAATTTTAACATGGAAGAGGATTTAAATTGAATGGGAAGGGCTTCAGTGATTTCCTCCCAATGTATTTTGCTAGGAAGAACGTGAGTTATCCCTAAAATGTTATCTAGCGTTAATAAAACTTAAGTAATTAATAGCTAAATTAATGAATAAAAAATCTTATAACATCTAGATTTTATTTACACCATTACTTCCACTGAGAAATTGTAAAATAATCACATGGCGCTATATCATTCATCAGCAACTCATTTATTAGGTAGCACAAAGCACAAAACTATTTGAAAAATTATCGCTAAACTAACGTACGTCGTTACCAGAAGAAGTTGGAAACAACCAAACGAAAGATAATTATTTGAATTATCAATTAAATAAATAATTAGCAAAACTCAATGAATTCCCGTGGCTGATAATTAATTTCAATCAATTCCATATCATTTATGGTTGCATACGCTGAGGAGTTTAATTGAAGTTGTGCGATGCCATTTAGTTGTTTTTAACCATTGCTTTTGAGTGCATGTTAATTACAAGCAAACTGGCAATAATTTTAAATGAGAAATCAAGTACGAGAAATTTATTCATAATTTTGGCTTAAGGTATTCGAATAATAAAACAGATTTCTTGCGTATATTTGAAACTTTATTTTTTCATTCACTAGTGAACGTATGGAAACAAGACCTGTTTATTTTCCAAGGAGTCCAGGAAAAATTCCTACAAACCCCGCCAGTATATCAAAAAAGCCGAATTCATACAAAGAAAGGGAGAAATTGAAGACTCCGGACACAACGCCTCGCAACGCAGTGAACACTCCAAGCAATGCGTAGGCAATGCCGACTCCCGTGTCGAAAATCGTGGTTGGCGGCGGAGTTAAAGTTTGCAATGATGTTGTGACGATGCGAGTAGCTCCTCCAATGTGGGTTTGGAATAAAGTCAAAGCGTTGTCCCCAACAAATCGGATCACGGTACTCATAATCGTTCCCAGAAGGCCGATGGGAATTTCAGTCAAAATGTTGCCCATGTTGGAGTTGGGTATTTTAAATAACCTAAAACTATGTCCCGGAAAACTTCATTCTTCTTTCAGGGAATTTAGGGTGTTTTCATTAGGCAGGTACAATTTTTTCCGTCATCTACACATATCCGCTGCATTTTCAATCATAATTTGCACGCTGCATTTTCAATCATAATTTGCACACTCGTAATATAGTCTTTTCCAAAAAACTTTCATGTGCACCTGATGAGGCTAGGAGAGGAAAAACTAATAAATTAGAAGCAACAAAAGGAAAGTTGCTTTCTAAAATTTTGCATGATTGATGAGGGCACAGTCATCTACAATTTTAAGTCAAGAATACGAGTTTAATTCTATTGATAAATTAACACTACAAAATATTAAAATAATGATATTAACTTAGGCAAGCATCATACTGTCGTGTGATGTACAATTTTTAAATTTCCAATATCACTTAAAACAAAAGCTGATACTAAACACTTCACATTAGTTTTTTATTCAAGTTTTTCAGCTTAATCTCCATATGAATATGTTTAGTAGCGTATTTGGCTTGTAATATAATCATGAATGAGGATACGAAAGCTTGGATTTATTAATATAACATGAAACAAATGTTAGATTGTCGATAGTAAAGGAGAACAATTTATAAGCTAAAAAATTGTTCACGGGTTTTTTTGAAATGCATAAATAAAAAAAAAATCGGAACACGAATAAGTTTTTAACTGCCGGATGAGAAATTTCTAATAACTGTAATCACTAAAATCCATGAAATTATCGACAGAGATAAAAATTCTCGCTTCAATAGAAACAATTAAGAAACAGTGTGAGCATTGAAAAATCCAATTAAACAGAAATAGGATAAAGATCCTGAAATTAAGAGGTGAAATGACACTCATTCAAGCAGAAGTAATAAATATGAATAACTGATAAAAAAATTTTTTTAATTGCAACACACAAATGACTTCTGTTAGTCATTTGTATTGCAATGGTTTGCATCATGTTCGTAGAAAGAAATGGCCTACAACAATTGAACCCTGGAAAATTCTCGGGCCGAATAGTCGTCTGATTAGACATCCCATGACCCATTTCAAAACCCTGCAAATGTAGGAGACTAGGAGGTACGACAGTAAGTACCCACCAACACACGTTCTATGTCATCACTGATTCTGGCTGATGGCCCGGTGCGAGCTTTCACAAACCGGGAAGCTTCATTCACTCACTGTGGTCACAATCGTTATCACATCGGATGTTCTTAAGATAATAAGTATAAGTTGAATAAAACCATTAATGGTTGTATGTATCAGTAGCAAGTTGATAAACGGAGGTTTTCTTTATTTTTTTCTCCTAACTTTCACAAAGTTTAGAAAGTTGAAATACACTAATTCCCAAAACAACGTAGTCAGCCATCAAATAATTTGATGATTATACTTTCAGAGAAAATTTTCTATGCCTACTTATCTAAAAAGGTTGCGCTCAGAGGTTGTGAAGAGAATCAAGCAGTTTTTAGTCTGGTCGTGCGATGAAATTAGGAGTCAACGCAAGACAGATTGTAAAATAATATCATTCAATCTCCAAGTTTGATAAATTTTATGCATATTTATCATAGTTAAATATAAGGGTTGTTCGGAGGGCACGTATCTATCCACGATAATATCATGTGATATTGCCATGCCTGCACCTGAAAATTCAAACGCATTGCATAACTGGTAGCAAAAAGTTTGATCAATAATTTAAATTTGCTTTTTTTTAACTCACAAGTGGCAAAATTTTTATTTTAGATTTTGAAACGTGAGCCAAATGAAAGTTTAGTATTTTCTAGAAAATATTTGAACGTGTCTTCCTTTAATCATTTGATTCTCTTCAATTATTGATTTGCTTAATAACCACGACGTGACTCCAGATTCTAAAATTCCAGTGATCATCTTTTTCAAGCAATGTCGAGTCTCATAAAATTTACCGCGAGATTATCATAACGAGCTCAGGCTGTGACGATTGGAAAGAATGCTCTCAAGTTTCAAACCAACTGAAATTTCCCACCTTCAATAAGGCAAAAATGTATTTTGGCCTAAAATAAGTTTTATGAAAAAAAACGAAGAAAGTCCTAACATGATTTTAAAATTCTGCCATAAATTACGAAATCGATCATTTCGTAACATCAGTTTGTCTAGGGAGGCGACACATAGTCTTTCACTAATAGGTCGTTTCATTGGCAAGATTTTTCATTCGCTTACCAGGGGGAGTTCTATCGAAGTTGATATCAACACTGGTGCAGTTTTTCTCTAATTATTTCAATATGGCTCGTATATTGATATCACAAAGGCAAATTAAATAGTTCAACATTCCAATTTTAATGAGACGTTAGCAAGAAGCTGCTCTACGCACCTCACCCGAGCTGCACTAAAATCGACAACCTTAGTAGAATTCATAATTGAAATACAAGTAATCGTAATGTACATCCTCTGTGCAACGACGGGTATATTACAAAGAAACTCTCAAAATAACGAGATGGGGAATGAAATAAACAATTGCCAAGAAACAGTACGTGCAAATCCGTAATGCCGACTAGATGAATCGCAATCAAAGACGAAGTAGTTATTGAACACGATCAAACACTAATTTTACTAAATTGTTATTTAAATTGAATTCATATAAGAGGAAGCATCACAAAACCGAGTCACTGAGAACAACAGGTATGGCAGAGCCCAATTCTCAAGCTTCAAGGTCAAGCGCAAGACCAATTTTGTGACCGCCTTGGTTGAAATTCTTGCCATCAATGAGCGTGGAGAGCGTGAGAGTAACTCCGTCTCTGAGGCGCTGCTGGTAGCCCAAGCCAACTTGTGAGTTATTATTCACCTTCGCCCGAACGGATGCATCTTTGTCCAAGGCGTACTTGCAGCCGATCGAGAAACGCGTGGTGTTCGAGTTGGCCGACCAGCCGAGATCAACGGCGCCTTCCAAGTCGCGGCTGATTTTATGGTAGAGCGATCCGCCGAATTCAGCGCCATCGTTTGCGTATGTGTGAAGAATAAAGTCATTGCTAGTAAAGCCCACGGCAAAGTTGTTCTTCGTGAGCTTCGACTTGGCCGTGTCAAATGCCATTTGGTAGCCGAGAAGCCAGTTCTTATAGTAGGCAACCGCAGCGCCATTCACGAGCGGACCGCCCAGGTCCAAAGTGGAGTCCAGATTAATGGTGATGGCGTCAGCCTTGTAGGTGGACTTCAGGGCAGCGCTCTTCTTGCCGCTCTGGGGCACGAAGGTAGAGTTCAGCACCAGCTTTAGCCCCTTTGAAACTTTGTCTTCAAGGGCCAGTTCAGTGTTCAAGGTGTTGTCAGTGTTCCACTTCTCGGTGAACGTAAGCCCTGAGAACAATAGATTACTATTAGAAACCGAGGAGATTTTATTTTTAGAAAGCAAGTGAAGAGAACGTCCGTCTAAATTAAAATTTTTCAATCAATGAAAATGTGAAAAGCGAGTAATTCTGAAAAGATCATTAAATAAGACCGCCCTGATGCACAGACAACTTACACGAAATTACAATTAGATCAAACGAGAAAAAATAACAGAATGGAGTAGGGGAAAAAAAGTCAGACTACAGTATCACCTTTAAAAATGAGCGTTGCAATACGGGCTACCGACGAGTAAGGAATCTGGTTCTACACAGCTAACACGAGAGAACAGCACCACTTGACAGAAACTCAGTTCACTCATTCAGATGTGGAACTAACATGGTAACAATAAAAAAATCGCAGCAATACAGGGAGCATAGTTCATAAGATGAACATGAGCTAAAATTTTCTATTTAATAACGATTAACTATTGAGTTCTAAAATGACCATTATTTTAATTCCGCAATGGTTTAGAAGTTAGTTCAAACTGTTCTTCCCCTTAGCTTTCATGATAGGAAAAGATCGAATTGAGGTAGAGTAGCGTTTCAGCAGAATCAACGGTATAAACTTCTTCAGGAGGAACATTGCCGAAGCATGGTTGACTATCGCCTGATTAATTGCTTCATTTTCGAAAAAAGAATACAAGCTTTCAATTCGTCAAACGAATTAGTAAGGAATACTAATCAAGGGAGCGAAACAACGTAATCGATTCGTGTTTATTCAACAGTGGATATGGAACCAACGCAACAATAGTACGCTCGATTCGAAACCACTGTTGCAAGCGTCTTGGACAAATTTACAACATACATTAATCCGCGAAACAGCTGATTCGGGTAACAAGATAACAAAGTCAGACCTGGTTATTACATCAAAGGCGAATCAATCAGAGAAACGCATATTGAGAGTAATTGCGAAGCTGTTAGCTCGACACGTGTGTAATCGAACGATCGAGAGCTATATATAGAGGCAAACAGAGAAACAGCTATATGATTCATGCTATGATGAATTTGAATTGCAGAACAATTGTGAGATGGTCAGAAAAAGTGCATAACTCTTGCCTAAAGAAAGTATGCGAGGCGTTACTTGTGCCTTCGAAAATGCCCCAAAATATATCTCTACTCTTAACTTGCTAACAGAATGGCACCAAAGGGTCACCAACATGACACCCTAAAATTATTAAAAATACATCTTAGTTCAATTATATGAATGTGTCTACGTTCCATTGAACGTTTTTTTAATGATAACCAGAAAGAGAAAAAAAAAAGAGTATTACAGGTGTTAATGCCCAAGATGTGAAAATGACATTAGGCTAGTAGTGTTTTTAGATTCTAATAATACGCTTATCGGCATAAGAACTCGTTAATGAAACGTGAATGGAAAATAGTTCTTTTATTCATCCATGCAGAAAGTGTTGAGTGAGATTGAGCTAATGTCGCTTGAGAATGAGTTGAGTAATAAATAAGCAGGTACAACCTACCATCTTCATCGCCTAAATTTTATTAGCTGTGTGCACAGAGGCTTCTTAGCACTTGGGCTATAAAGCTCACTCTACTCGCAAGTCATCAACTATCCATCACCAACGAAGCTGGAAAGCTTGCCCTAAGCAATTCATCACATTATACATATTTCGACACCAACGAAAGGACAGGGTACAAAAGGTGGTAAAAGAGAAACAGCTCTAACGTTTCATAGGACGTTTAGGGAAGGAGCAAAAAAAAAACAACAAAAACCAAGAAATTGAAAGGAACACGTCGCTTGCACGAGAGGACAAAAATTGCAGGTAATCCTTCCTAAATAACAGAAACCTTGCATCAGACCTGAAAACTATCTGATCCCATGGACTATGTGAGTTGTTCAGGTGTTATGCCTATGTCAGCGTGCAACCTCACTGGCTATCTACCCAGCGCTGACACGCGCCTGGAAACTCTTTCCAAAGAGGGTATTAACCGTTACAAAACTATATACAAAGTAAAATGGGGCACTAGGATGGAATAGGGGCCCTATCGGCTACCATCATTTTGATATTCCTAACTACATCCTTCGAACGTCTGCTCCAGTGGTAATGAACTCGTTTCCACGAAATCTAGAGCATTGGGAATTTCCATAAGCGTATGCTGCTGCGGAACTGAAGCCTGCTGTTGAGGAGGTCCTGGCAGGTTATGATGATGCGATTGAGGATGCGGGGCTCCTTGTTGTTGAGACCTGGACTTGGTCTGCCCAATGAGGTCTTGCAGGCCGCGCCAGACATAAAACATGGGATCAGGCGTACATGACTTGCCTTCAGTTAGCCACTCGGCATAAATAGGACGCACAATCTCTGGTATAAAATTCTGTACTACGAAGTCCATGGCCGCTTCCAATCCGCTGATGAAGTCTTTGGAACACGGGCCACCGCTAGGAGCAGCAACGGCAGTTACGGTGGGACATTTCTGATCAGGCTGCGGTTGGTGTTGTGACGTCTGTATTTGGGGCGATGGTTGCTGCGGCACTGCTTGTTGTTGTGGCTGTTGATTATGCTGTGTCGGTTGATTTTGCATAATATTAGTTTGTTGTGGCGGCGGCGGCGGATGCGTCAGTTGCTGTTGATTGAACCTGCCAAAGTCGGGTTGTGCGCAGTGTTCTGTAGGTTGGTACAAGTGCATGGAGTTATTTTCAGGAGCGTTAGGAATCACCACCATGTTGTTGTAAGGGTTATTGGAGGGCATATGATTCATCTGCATGAGGTGATGAGGAGAGTGAGAAATTTTCACTTTGATAACCTGAGGACCAGCAGAAGCCTGAAGCATTTTCTTAGTGATGACGGCATTTTCGTCCAGAGGCAAGAGACCTGCGCTGTGGAAAGCTGATAACACATCTTCCCGTTTAGTGGATCGGCACCATGCGCGCATAAACACGAGAGGAAAGAGTTTCACGTTAATGGAAGGCCCGTAACGAGGTCCGTAATAGTCTATGCTTTCCCGAAATGCTTCTTTTAGGGGCTTAAAACAGGCGTTGTCCATCGGCTGCAAAATATGAGACGAGCGCGGTGGCAGCATGTGTAGAATTATACCGGCTTCTTTGGCCATCTCGAGCGTGGCTATAGTGACGTCAGCGGTGTTGTAATACAGCAGCAATAGAATGGGCTTCTGCAGAGGCATGTCTCGTATTTGATGAATGAACAGCTGCATCCAGTAAAAGAACACATTCTCTTCCATGCGGCCGGTAGGACTAAAACCAGCGTCAAAAGTTGCAGGATTAAGATCAGGATGCTCTTGCCAAACTGGAGGACGTTTGCCATTGAATACCAGTAAGGGTTTTAGGAAACCTCCTGACGCGTTCATGCACGCCATTGCGCTGATCATTTTCTTTGCTCCTGAACTTTCTTTTCTCACCAAGAGCTTGGAGAGGCGATCTTCTCCATGGAGCAAAATGCGCATTTCTTCAGCATAGAATATTCGGGACCCATTGACGGGCTGCATAAAAACGTTAGGGTCAAGGTTTTCTTTTGTCAAGTTTTCTCGGAGTCCCTTGAACCAGGCTTTTACGTCTTCCTTGGTAGCCTTGCTTTTGGAAATTCCCCCTTCGCGCGTCTTGATGCCTTTGATTATGGGGTGCCTTCTCTTGAAAGCTTGTAACCAGCCAGATGTGGGAGTATTATTGTTTTTGAACACGTTTCTGCGGCCCATCTTATCCAATACATCCTTGACAGCATAAGCAAGCGTTTTCCAGGCTTTCGGATGACCCATTTTAGACATCCTGATCATCCACTCGCAGATTTCGCTTTCCTCATCTTGAGTCAAGGCAGTGGCCATTCCAGGTTTTTTGACAACCAAAGGATCATTACTACGCAGTCGCGTGCGCAGCGTTGATCGTGGAATACTAAAGCGCTTGCTCACTTCGCTCACAGAAACCTTCTCATCTATGATGAGTCGGATGGCTTTCTCCATGCGGTCGTCATGGTATTGGGTCTTCTTCCGCTTCAAAGAATTGATGGACTTAGTACCTAAAGGTGCACCCAAAAAAGGGAAGGGTGATGTTAGTCCACAAACAGAGACTGGTGTAGCAAATCTCTTCAAGCCAAACAATTTTTTGAAAAAGAGTGGCAAGTAGATATAACAAAAAAAAACTAGACACAGCTACGTAACGGATTAGTAGAAAAAAATCAAATGAATTAAATCGCTGGAAATAACATCGGCCTTTAATTAATACACAATAAATCTTTGATATACTATTTCACAGATGTTGAAGATTCAGAACACAATATTGAAATCTTTTTTAATGTGGAAATATGAAATGAATTATTTATAACTTAGAGGCTCATTTACGGCATAATAAAACATATGGTTGCAATATTGTGTTAGAGCTTGTGTTAAACCATCACATAAAATATTCTATATTTTCATATGCCATAAGTAGAAAGCAAAAACAAGGTGCAATAACTTGTCATGAAGCAAGAATTATGTAAGGCAAAAATGTTTGGTGATAGACCATAGATGGCTGTGATATTGTTGTTACAGGATCACCCAAGATGTAACTTTAAAAAATAATAATAATATTAGGATAAAATGTTATGTTAATGGATGAACAGAATATTATAAAAGAATGAACAGGTCATTAATATGCTGTATCTGGGGCATGGGCTGAAAAAAGTGAACAAATCATGGTACTAATTTATAACTTGGGTAGAAAAAGTACCGTACTTCAAAAATTAACTAAATGTTTACATATATTAAAAATTAATGTGGGTATGAAGTTAACAAAAAACAGATCTCGGCAACAAACATTTTTTTTTTTAGAAATTTGTACATAGATTCCAACACCAAACTAGTAGGTGTTGGAACTAACTAACCTGTCAGAACTAACTAACTTCCGACACCAACTAAATTCTTTCATTCAGTGTTCAATACCACCATGGAAATCACAACAGTTCTCAGCACTGAGCTTGAGTCACCTTTATTGCTACACTCTGGCCAAAGTTGACTTCCTGGCAAGGGTAATTATTGAAGAACTGAACTGGGCAATTATTGAAGAACTAACAACATTCCCAAGCAACTTTTTTCATAGAATTATAAAATGATTGAGAATACATTACAGGACAAATTATTCTGATGAAAAAATTTTCAAGGTGCCTTCCGATGCATTTTGCTTGTTCTGACAAGAAACAATGCACAGATGAGGGCACATCAACTTCAACATCCAAAAATTAATGAACACTATCAGTGCTGTTGGTTACAGTTAGTGACAATTCTTCACATTTTGCCTGCCATGATCAAAATTAGGTACTTGAATTAAGCAGCATAGCTGACTAGCAACAAACTGAAGAAGTTTGATGAGAATGTAACACACAACTCCCAAAAAAGTTTAAAAACAGGAAAGGTACCTTGAATTGTATGTAATTCATTCAGTATTGTCATTTGTTGGATGGAATGTCCAAAGTAGGAACTCTTACAATTTCCATGTCGGGTTGTCCTAATGAGAAAATATGTAATCTTAATTCTTTTAGACCTATATTCCTAATACTATCTTTAATCCTCTTATCTAGGACATATCTATACAATATTTTCAACATCATTTTAAACTGTTGCGTTGATCTTTTTTGCCTATTGTAATTTATAGTTAGATAAATTATAAAACAAAAGTTTTCTTACAAAGCATTATTTCCCTGTTTAGCTAAAATAAACTAGCTATACAAGATTGAAACTTTTTGAGCTAATACAGTAGTGAAAAGCTTGTGTTTTGGTAACAATTTTAAAATGCTTAGTTCCTTTTTTCATCCAAGATTACCCAATCATAATTAAAATATCTTTCCATATCAATACTACTTTCCCTGTACAACATGATCACAAATAATAGCTCATTATTCAATATACCTACATAATAAATTAACAACGACACTAAGATTGCACCAGTGAACACTTACCATGTTCTTTAATTTTGTACTTGGTTTCAAGGTTTCCAGCAACTTTGCCGGTCTCAATGGCATTGCTGCCACCAGCAACAACTTCAACACCAGCATCACTCTTAGTCTTGCACTCCAACTTCAGCACACCAAAGTGGTAGCCCTTGCCAAAAACATCACGAGCCTGCTTGCCCAGATCACCGTATGTGGGGGGACTCATTGTGCACTAAAAGGATCTGAAAGAAAGAAATCTGATGTCAACTGATAGCTATAAAGTGCAAAAGAGTATGAAAGAACAAAAAAAGTTTTAAGCAAATAGACATCTCTGAAAGCAATATTGTTGAAGTGATGAAATGAGTGATTTGGAGGAACTGTCTTCAGCTCACTGACAACTTTCTTTATTGCCATAGTAAAGTGCCTGTACACAACTTTTTAACCTTAATAAAAAATTCACAATAAATTTATTTTATTTTACTAGATGCAACTCAGGTAATATAGCAAAATGAAGACCAATAACCATAGCAGTTTTACTTTGGTTATACATGCTTCATATCATTCACACAAGATTCATAAACAAAATTTTTCATTTTCTAAAAAATCTATATATATATAATCATGAAAATTGAAGGCTTGAATTCAGTACAACATCAGTTCCATGGACAAGTATACAATATAATACAACAATTAGCATACCTACAGTAAATGACACACAAGTAAACCATCACCAGATCCCACATTAGACTTGCTGCTTATTAATGAAAGCAGTTGAACAAGGATCAAAGCTACAACTTGTAATTTTTTATCACCTCACAGAAATTGTTTATATGCTTGGGACTTGGCATTGCTGTTAGAACCATCTCCACAAGCAATCTCATATACCATCAATGATATGCAAGTCACCTTCATAATTCATGATACCATTGATAGAAAGAATCCTGCTTTATAGCACTCAGTAAAACACAACAGCTTCTAAGTCATGTAATTTTGGGAAAATTTCAATTTCATTTTCAATCTTGCAGATGGATTACCAACAAGGTGGAATTGTTGAAATGTTGATTCAAATATAATCAATGTAGCCTGCTAACTTGCTCTGTTCAAAAAATATTACCCAAGTTTTAAATTATTGTCTAGTCCCACATTTTCAGATTTGAAATAATATGTGTACCTGTTCATATTCTAGCCTCTTGAATTCCACCCAGAATTTACCAATATAGCAGGAGATAATTTATCTGGTATAGATATTGATGCACCAAAAATGCATGATGGATAAAGACTCTTGTCATGATTCCAAAAAGAGGTATTTTCCAGGCCTTCCACAATTCAAGTCACGAGTGAGCAATAAGAACAACTCTAACAAAATTTAGAAAATAATTATAAAATTTGTACAGCTTCAAAGAATTTTTCCTAAAATCTGATCAATATAAAATAATTTTTTAGTAAGGCAGAAAGTTCGGAGTAGTAGCAAAGAGGTGTACTGGTGTAGAAAATATCTACTTTTCAAGCCATGACAGGCGGCAGTCAGAGTCGAAAGCTATCTTACTTTTGGAGCCTCAAATCAAAAAATGTTTTTGCAACATGAACTCCACCATTATCTTAAATAAATATCAAAGTCTGTGCATTTGTTTGTTTTTGAAGACTGGAATAACAAATACAAAGGCCAAAATGAAAAAAAAACAGCCGAGTTCAACTTGGGAAGTGAAAAAAATAAAAATCAATGCATGTTTTATACGTCCAGGGTCTTTGCCTTATTTCTTCTATATAAATTGAGAAAAATGGCACATTTTTGCCAATGCCAGCCCTCCAAAATTGTGCCTACTTTGAGTCTGATTTGGCATATTGAGAAGTTTGCTAAAATTGCAGGTAAAAACAATTGTAATGGGACTGATTTTCAAAATCACATGGAAAAAATAGGCCTTTTTCAGATTTCACTGAATAAATTGGGAAAAAGCTATAAGAATGGGTGAAATTGGGTACATTAAAGTAAGGCATAACAACAGGAAGGAGAATGTGTAGACTTTTTCATATTTTGAAGGAGTTCAATCTTTAATGTGATTATGGGAGTAGGCTAATTACCCGCTAATAACTAGTAGGCTAATAAGTTACCTATTCATAAAATGTAGGTGACACTGACAGTAGATTTTATAATTATAATTAATATGGTGGTGTTTTTTTTCACTTTTTTTGAAGTTCTTCCATTGACATGCATAGCATAGTCTCCATTATAAAATGAGATAATCTATTTATAAAAATTTTCAGTCTTTCAAAAGATCAATCTATCAAGTGAATGAAGTGGTAGGCCTAAGTCCTAACTTGTGTCATTGATTTGATTTGCCAGTACTATAGCTAGCTACTAGCTACTACCATCACTAGAGTCTAGGTAAGGTAGGTAGGAACATAGGCTATAGTGGCAATAATAATAGTGCTATACTACTAGGTACTAGGCCTACTACACTCACTACAGTAGGTACTACCGTACTAAGGCTACCTACGAAGTAGACCTAACATAGTAGTACTGTAGTAGTAGGTATATATAATATATTCATCAAAAAACAAAACAATTTGTGATTAATCATCATCCTATCGATTTTGACGTGGAAAATGAATTTATAGGTATAACTCAGGCAGCAGAAAATTCAATTGTGTACACCGTTTTTAAACTTAGTGTCAAGTCACGAATAAGCCACTGGCACCAAGTACAGAAAAAGCCGTCAATTTTTTTTTTCTAGTATATATGAATGAGTGTTCATTAAATTGACACCTCAAGTAATTCTGAAAGTCTTTGACAACAAAATAATCATTCATAACATAAATAGGATGATTTTGAACTCACCAGAGTTTTGGGAGTATAATTAAGCAGCGCGTAACTCGCCGGCTGTTGTCTGCACCACTTCCACACAATCTGAGCGGTCCTATCTGCTCACGAGACGGAACAGTGATCGAGCTGGGCGACTGGCGATGTCAAAGGACCTAAATGGGATCAAAATACAACACTTTTTCAAATATTGCTTATATAATAAAAAATGTATGAATATGAAGCAAAAATAAATTCTTCTAATGCCACATCAGGTCAAATAAGGCACATTAATGATAATATTTACGTAATCAGGCGAAGCAGAAGTGTACGAGGCACGAGGCTCGGCCGGCGATGGCGAACAATCGAGCAATTATTAGACATTGGCGGTGCGCATGAATCGAATTTTTAAATGTGAGTTTTTTGTATATAATTGCATTGAAAAATACGTATTTTCATCCGATAAATTCAAATTTATGAGTAAAAGACAAAATTGCGTATTATATAGATTTTTATTGGCAGTAAAATCTTATATATTCCGAACTAGTTCTTACTGCGGATACCTTTGCTGGCGACTTTAAAGGCTAAATCATAAATAAGAAGAAAAATTTTTAGAAACTATTCATTTGTAAATATGAATTGTGTTTCTTTCTGTAAGAGTCAATGGACGGATTTTTTTCAAGCTATCAGATTAAAATTTCGCCAATGGTGATTAACCCATTCCGTTTAGTGAATCGAACAAATGATTTCCCGCTGTGCGAGCAACGATCATTTGTAAACGTCTCGGACCCCGTGCTGTATGGATGATTCATTTTTTATTGTATTCCTTCGAATAAGTGCTGATAGCTTTTAAATTTAGTGGTGATAATAATTATCAAAATATTCATCATTAAAGATTCAGGAAGAAGGTGACGTAAAAATTGATGTTATTAGCGATATTAATCAATTCATTACGCTCTACGGCAGGTTATGAAAGTAAATAGGTGTTGAAAGCCTATACAAAGTATCAAAGTAGTAAAGCTCATAATTATTTACGATCACAATCATAAAATATTAAGATCACTTCTTAATAAATAAAATAAATTAACTTGTACCATTTATTTTTTGTTAGCAGACTCAACGTGGGAAAACGTGGGAATGATGATGTTTACAAATGATCATAATTAGCCTACTATGCAGAGACCTTTTTTCAGTAAGCTGCGTCAAATCAAGTGCGTCGTTTTTAGGCGAGTGCAACCGAACCTGCTGGGCGTGACTTTGCATCGGAATGGAAAATTTTCCTGTTTCCTTCATGAGTATTCAGCTCTAGGCTGGTGGCATGGACACAAGTTCTGCTGTACGGTAGCTCAATAATTGAAAGAACGCATCAGACACGCTTCCTATCCATGTATTATTTCAATTTCAATGAGGTATGTTGACGGAAGTAAAAATTCAAGATATCTTACAGCGAAAATTTTTTCTGACACGTGGATCGCCGGCTGTGCACCTTGCCTTTCTTCATTAATATTGATAGAAGAACCGATTATACTAACGAACTTATGATCAACCATTCGTTATCAAAACACAGCAGACGTTTTGGTCGTTGTAACACCCATATGACTAGATTCATATAAAATTAAAGCCATTTTAAAGATGCACATATTCTTAATCTTATGTAATTTAAATTGTGCAACGGGAATATAAAAAATAATAAAATAAATAAATAAAATAAATAAGCGAATAAAATTATTCCAGTGATAACAACCAGTAAACTCGCAATCTGACGAAAAAGGAAAGGAGTAAAATATCGCACTAAAGCCAAGTAAAAAAAAAAGCTATGTAGCGGACTAGCCGGACATGGCAGTTTCCACAGTGCTGGCCTGGACCGTCGTATGCTCTGATGGCCTAGGAAAGCCAGGCAGGTAAACGGCAAACTACGAAAACCACGACAATGCCAGACAGGCGAATCCTACAAGTAGTTTCTATATTGTAATGCCTGTTACAGTGTAGCTAGAATTTAATTTCTCTCTGGATATTCAATAAAACCTTGCGAGGGTTCGTATCCTAATTCGATAAACTATTCATTCTATGGCGCTATTTCGAACACTGCAAAAATTGCACAATTATCGACAGTTGTGCAAGTCATTAATGACAATGGAGGAATGCAAGATGAGCTCTGACGCGACCAACTTCAGTTGGCTGTCAAGCTACAGAGAAATGTGTCTAGATTTAAACTCGTACGAAATGAAAGATATTGTGAGCTCAAGTGATAGTTTATAAAAGATTCATCAATATTAAAATTCAGAAGCCACTCTACTTCGAAGCCGTTTATTCAACTTAACGTCGCTACCTTTTGAAGCGCACACCTAACTGGCAAATATCTTAACTCGCGAATTATCAATCTGTCAGCCGTCACTAGCTAGCCTCGCTGATCAGAAAAGCCGGATGAGAAACGTCCATTCATCAGAAGCAACGAATGCAATCGAACTACAGGAGAGCGTACTGGTTATTATATCCAGTAAAAGGGTTATATAATATCAGACGCATTATCGTAAACAGTGGAAATTCATTTCAAAATCGAGGATTGCACGAATCCTAAAACGGAAATAAGAAAGCCTTCGGTAATGGCCGAAGTCTGACGATCATCATTCATCAGGCCGATAGAATGCTATAGTCTAGGCGAGAACCACCACCATACTAAACACAGCATTTGAATGCCCATAATTGTCCAAAATGGAGGTGAGATAAACTGCTTACCAAAAATTCAGCTATTACAAGTCGCGCAGTGATTATGACTAGTAGTGAAAAATGTAATTAAAAAATCTATCGTCTAGAGCTTTGTTAATTATTATCCGCCCCTTTGAAAATCACTATCTTGCGGGATGAAATATAAACTCGTATCAGAGCGGACCGTTTATTGACATTAACGGTTGGACTTGGCCACACGCTCGAGTTCATCCTTCTTCTTGATGGCGTAGCTGTTGGATGAACCTTTGGCTGCGTTGATGAGTTCATCAGCTAAACATTCAGCGATGGTCTTTATGTTCCTGAAGGCAGCCTCCCGTGCGCCGGTGGTCAGGAGCCAGATGGCTTGGTTGACACGACGCAGGGGAGAGACGTCCACAGCCTGACGACGTACGGTACCGGCACGACCAATACGAGTCGAGTCTTCACGGGGACCGCTGTTGATGATGGCGTTCACGACCACCTGTACGGGGTTCTGCAACACGCACATGAAATTAAACCCTGCAAGTTCATGAATAAAATCGAGTGATAGAATTAGTGGGATGAGAATAGGAATATTACAATTCGTATTCTATCTGTAAAAAGAGAAGCAGAGCAACATGTAGGACTTCCCTATTTCTATGTCTTTATATTTTCAAATAATCTGACTAAGCTCAACCCTTGACAATTGACATGGCAATGGGGATATGGGCGGGACACATAGGGAGCAATTTTTTGTTATCGTGTCCAAGCGGCCAAAGCCATCTTTCTCTAGATGTATCTATCATTATATTAAGTTAAAAAAATATAATTGCTTCGAAATATGATTTTTGGGGAACAGACGTAATCCCTCTTGTAATAACATAATTACTCGCATGGCTCGCACGATCATAATGTATGCGCAGCTGCTAAATAACATTAAATTACGTTAAAAATCTAACTTAAAAAATTGAACGAAAATAAAGTGCACGAGATTGATAGTCTTCAAAACGTTTATATATCATACTAACGGCCCTTCACAAACAAGCCAAACCTTCAGGTATTCACAAGCCTTTAGGTATTCTAACGCAAAATAGCTTCAACAAAATGGGCGAAAAGGCCCCTTTAGAAAACCCACCCGCCATAGCAATGTTAACTTGATACCAATGGTGTGTAAGGTTCTTACCAGAAAGAAAAATAAAATGTAATTTCTATCAATATGAGAATTATAATTGAAACAGAAATTCTGGCTCTATGAACATTTAATTCTATTCATTAATATTTAACTCGGTAAAAAATCATTAATTATACACAAAGAATTATTTGATAATTGGATTGCACAAGCGGTAGCAGTAATTCGATGTGAACAATAAGATTTAAACTCAACATAAAAATTTGGCTGGTTTTTCACACTTTAGAATTCGTTTTACCTCTCCAGAAAGAAGGTGGATGATTTCAAAGGAGTGTTTGACGATCCTGACAGCCAGGAGTTTCTTGCCGTTGTTGCGGCCGTGCATCATAAGCGAGTTGGTGAGACGCTCGACGATGGGGCACTGAGCCTTGCGGAAACGCTTGGCAGAATACCGGCCAGCTGAGTGAGGTAGGTACCGCGAGTGGTTCTTCTTTACGGCAATATAATCCTGCAGGCGAATAGTGATAGTATCATCTTCCAGTAGAGTTGAACACAAGTAATTCTTATTAGCAACCGTTAGTTTGATCTAGCAATGATTCCACAGGAGTTTTACAATTAAGAACTAGGAGTTAAAAATATAACGTGATGACTCAACATTTGTTGGTTGTTAAAAAAGATATCTTTGTTGCTAATGCAGGTTATCATAGACATTCATCACAATGTAGTTATTATTTCGTCCCAATTAATACTTCCACAGCTTAACCATCATACCAAGAATAAGCAGCCAACGATTATGATGAAAAAAAGGCTATGAAATTAGAAAATTCTGATAACCTACTATTTTTCCTGACAAATGTTAAATATTCGATGTAGTTGTCAACAAGTTTGTGAGATTTACTTGGTTAGCAGAACAAGCTTATGAATCATTACCTGCATGAACAAGCTTATGAATCATCTGAATCACAATTTAAAAACATACTTCCAAGCTTCTCAATCCTCTACGTAAGTCTTCAAATAATATGCAAATGTGATCTACAATATTGTCAGTGCTCCATCCTGGTTAAAAAAGATGCAATCAACATTCAAGGAAATACTTTGAATACTATAAGTGAAAAAAATGGATGCAGAAATGAGCTGAAATTCTATGGCTGACTTTTGAGAGACATTGCTAACAAATCAAAATTTAATACAAATTTAAACAAGATAAAAAAACTATTCATGTAATATCCGAACTAAAAAACGAACATAAATACTCTTGGCATGTTGTCAAGTTTAACCTTGCCAACAAAATAGAATATAAAACAAACAAAACATGAACGAAGCAGCCACAATCTCTACATGCACATGACATGACACCAGACCTAAACAAGGCTCAAAGAGCACACTAACCTGGAGAGACATATCGTTGAGCTGAACTTCCTCCAAAGACCATTTTCCAAACAGTTTAATTTCTGGCATCTCGGGCACAAAGGCTGCAGGAACTACGGCAGGCACTGCCACAGTGCTCTCATCTCCAAAGTCTGCCATTGCTGAAAAAATAATTATATAAGATTTAGCTTTTATAAGACATGACAAACTAGATGAAGTAGCTCTAAAAAAAATTACAACAGATATATTTACCCAGCTGCAATGAGACATAAACTGCATTTCTTATCTCTGAACATAAACAAGCAATACTGCAGAATGATTATGAAAAAAACTTGCCAACAGCCAGGACATTAGCTAGTGAGCCCTAGCATCTATACCTTGCAAAAATGTGGATGTAATTTAATGATTTTCTGAGTGAGATCATCTATATATCAATTCATTAAACTCAACTTTTTAGCTGAAAACAGGTTTGGACAACATGAATAAGAGATCAAATAACCATAACCATGTAGTTTTTGCATAGATTCCAACAATTGGGTGCAAATAAACATGTCATTTCAGAGCAGCAGCAGGTATATACATATATTTATATAAACACATCACATATGACATTAAAAATGCAACTGTCAGGATATTGCAGCAGATTCCTATGGATCAAATAATTTAGATAATATGCAAAGATTTTTGTCACCTGCATGGTTAATTCAACCATACAGGAATCTGAACTGCCCATCACCTATCATAGTTCCAGCATGTATCCACAAAAATGCTCTTAGCAGTCTCTTAGTTTGGAAAGTCCTACTTTTTTCTAAAATATAGCAGCTCTAATATCACGTTCTTTTATCGGAGAACACAGTTAACAAACATGTCATTTTATAAGATTTTCAACTTCCACAATCTGCAATACTTAGTACCAGGCTCCTGACAAAATATCTTGCATGACGATTAATGAGTCAACCCCAAATGTTTCCTTGGACTTTGAAGATTGTATATTTACTGTCGCATCAGACTGCATTATCATGAGTTCTGTTGCCTATAAAGTAAGGATGTATTTTATTGTTGCTGTTTCTAGGGTAAAATTAGAGGTTTGGGGTAATACAAGCACAGGCATTGGCAAATCAGTTTGTGGTTTGTAAATAACTCATGGCAGGATATGAGATTCACAACTCAAATGGAATCATGGCTTGCAAATCCATAAAACCATGGCTCAAAAAATCTAGTTGCGGTTCAGAGAGTAGATATTTTCCTTACTAGACTGCCTTCTATGAGCAAAGATCGTCATAGTCAAGGCAGGAATAGTCACAAAATTTTTATATTTTAAAATGTGTAATCATTATGCAGAACTACAATTTCATTTAATACATTCATTTATAAAAATATTGTTTTTATCAGGTAATTTCCAAACAATATCAAATTTATGCTCAACAGTTTAGAATCATTTATTGATCGTGAATTATTTCTGAAGAACTTGACATGACTCAATATAGTTGTAACATGCAAATTTCAGTGAGCAACAGGTAACAGAAAATAACAATCAAACCCTCCCTTGATATCTTTTTATTGTGAGCAAGTACCTGCATGTCTGAAATATGCATAAATAAATGTAATGAGAAATTGTGGAAGTATCTAAAAAATTTAATGAACTGAGAAGCAAATTGACAGACAAGACATTTATATTTTGTCTCCAGTATGAATTTCTGCAAGACAAATCTTAAACAAAACAGCTGGTGATAGCAACTGTCTGATGTAAGTGATGATGGTGGAAGTATGGAGACCATTAAAAGACTTGACTATGAGATACCATTTGAACCGTTCCATAACTTCATATCCAAGCTTTTCCAAAACCCAACTTGTTGGGCTGAAAGTTCCAAAAAGTCATGGGTAAAATTATTTTCTCACAGCAAATATTTGAATAGGGCAATAAAAAAGAGCTGTTCTCATTTTCATAAAAAAAATCAGGCAAGTGCCATAGTTAGAAATGGTGTGCCAGTAAGTGTTAATCTCTTATTCATGGGTGGCTTCTACCATATTTTTTAGCTTGACACTAGCTGAATTATCACATGAATGTTAACTTAAGGGGACCGGCTACCCTCCGGAAAAACTTCTACAGTTATTACCCGATCATCATGAAACTTCACATACACACGTAAAATGTAAAAAAATAATATTTTGCTTGTATGAATTTTTCGAAAAAATTGATAGAAAACGTGAAATTCATAGAAAATGGCTAAAAAGGGGGTACTTTAGAAAATCTATCTCCTACTACAAATATCATCCTACAACATCAAGACGCGTATCATTCGGTTTGTAAGGACCATACCTATAGATTTGATGATCATTTTTCTCATTTTCCCCTTAGTTTTTTTATGCGCGTTTATCCCATTTTTCTCATTTTCCCTCCTCCCCCCCCCTTCTCCCCCATATAAAAAATGAACCTGACAGAAATTCAAAAAAATGATCATCAGTTCAAAAGGTATGGTCTTTACGAAGCAAATGGTATACCGTAAAATGGGGTTACTTTGACCGGCGGGGTAACTTTGACCACTTTTCGTTTTTTTAACAAAAAACCCCAAAGCTCATAAACGATTTGACATAGAAAAATTTTGTCAATGGCCATCAAAGGCCTAATACTGAGGCTACGTAACACAATAGAAAGATTTAAAAAGTTTGCATATCTAATAGGTTAAAAAATTGATAATGTGACCCACAAAAAAGAGCTATTATTTAAAGCCTGTTGGAGTACTCCCTCCAATTTTTTCATTTTTTTGGTAAAATAATTCCAGGTTTTGATGCATTGTAGTAGAATTCTTCTAGTTACATATGCAAAAGAAAAATTTTAGGAAAGTGTCATAGTTTGCAAATGGGGGGGGGGTAACTCTTCGTAATCATCCTAACGCATGATGCTCATTTACGATCACCTTAACAACATTTTCATATTATTGAAGATGCATGGAAACATGCATTGTTAGTTTAGACCCTTTAAAAGACTCCGCAGCTTCAGACAAGGGCTTTGAAAGGTGGTCGAAAGGAACTGCGAAGAGAAGAGGGAGGGAAGAAGGAATGTTTACCTTGAACGACAGAAGATTTATTGCCATATAGGGTAGGCTGCGCCTACACCCGGTACCACAATGGGTCAGGTCTTGCTTAAATCTACGGAATTTTCACTCACCACTAATAATGTCGACTAATATCTAATGCTAAAAGAATGATTCAGAAATGCTTTGTGTAGAGATCAATGAAGAATAAATAGTTAAATTCACTTGTGTCGCGAAAATGTTAGAAAATGTTGTCGCGCTGGAAAAAGTTGCTCATTTTACGATCTTCATATGGTTTAAAATTTTTGTTCGTGATATAAGTGATAATACATAGTTTACATAATATATCTTACTGTCCTTTAATTGGAAATAATTAGCCAGATCACCATTCCAAATTTCAGACTTGTATCTTATTTAGGAGGAGAGTTATTGGTTGCCTTCATTGTTAAGAACCCTCATAGGGATTAACGCGCCTGGCGGCCGCTCCACCGGCCTCTTAAGCAAAAACTATTGCATGTGCATCAATGGTAGTAGCTTTGTTGAATGCGTCTTGTTTGCAGCTTTCAAATGAGTGCAAACACTTTGCAATTAACCTAAATAATTACATTTAAATATCATTTATTAGTAAATAATGGTATAAAATATCATTTTATAAAAGTTTAAGACTGCATTACACAAAAAAATATTGCATGTACATCTATGGCAGTAGCTTTGTTGAACGCGTCTCGTTTGTAGCTTTCAAACGAGTGCAAACACTTAGTAATTAACAAAAGTAATGATCTATATATACAGATTTAATTCAAATAAATCTTTGTACATAATGTTAAAAAAATGTTCATTTTATATGTTTTTAAAATTGTCTTACGCAAAAACTATAGCACGCACAGACATGCGGTAAACTGCGTTAGACGCGCTTTTTCAGCAGCTACAAAATGAGCCAAGAAAACGGAAAAGTCAAAATTTCTGATTTTTAGGGTAGACGGTCCCCTTAACCCTTTAGCGGGCAAGCATTGAAATATCCAGAAATTAAAATTTCAGAAACCATTTCAAGAAAGTAAGAAGTATTATACAATATACCGTAAAATGAGATAACTTTGACCGCTTTTTTATTTTGAAACAATGCCATTTTTTTACTAGATAAGTTAAACCTAAATTGAAACATGCAAAATTCAGGTCTATACTCTAGCTTTACTTACCATAAATTGCTGGCTCCTGCCTCTCATAGTTTTGATGTAATTTAAAAAAAAAAAGTGATGGTCTTTGTTACCCCAGCTCTTGGGGTTTCTCTGACCGGGTGGTAAAATCAATTTTATTTTTTTGGTGAAATAACTCCAGGTTGTGGTGCATTGTAGTAGAACTCTTCTAGTTACATATGCAAAAGAGAGATTTTCGGAAAGTGTCATAGTTTGCAAATGGGGGGCGCCGCCCCGCAATGGGCAAAATGTGACCACCTAATGGCAGCCGTGACAGGGTAACATTGACCGGTTTGGAAATTAAATTAAAATTACCATATTTAAGACTCTGTAGAGACTGAAACATATATAAAAAAAACATTAATAGCTGTATCAAACATAAAATATGTTATATAGGTACCTATGTTAATTTTAATTTAATTTCCAAGCCGGTCAATGTTACCCCGTCACAGCTGCCATCAGGTGGTCAAAGTTTCCCCTTTGGGGGGCAGCACCCCCCATTTGCAAACTATGACACTTTCCTAAAATTTGTCTTTTGCATATGTAACTAGAAGAGTTCTACTACAATGCATCAAAACCTGGAGTTATTTCAACAAAAAATAAAAAAATTGGAGGGGGTACTCTGACAGGCTTTAAATAATAGCTCTTTTTCATGGGTCACATTATTAATTTTTAAACCTATTAGATATGCAAACTTTTCAAATCTTTCTATTGTGTTACATAGCCTCAGTATTAGGCCTTTGATGGCCATTGACAAAATTTTTCTATGTCAAATCGTTTTTGAGTATTGGGGGTTTCTGTTAAAAAAACAAAAAGTGGTCAAAGTTACCCCGCCAGTCAAAGTATCCCCATTTTATGGTATCGCACTTGAAGAATTCAATAAATGTGATCAGTACACAAAATTTTTCTTTATAATTAAAATTCAGTTTATGC